GTGGATCCACAAGCGAAAGATGGCAAGTAACCGCTGAATACGATCGATCAGGCCAAAAGCTTCGGAGAGGCCTGGCTGCATATGCCCATAGGCACCACCACTAGCTCGGCAGACCTACGACTGTAGACCAAAGGCGTGTGCAAAGGGCATGCGCAGAAGTTGACTGGCGGAATGCAAAGCACAGCATCGGCACAATGCAGACACCCGCAGGCTCGAAATAAGAGATCGCGCTGCAAGAATGCTGTTTTGCACACAGTCTGAGTGATGCACGATCAGGGCTGGGCATCGCCAGCTGGCATGTCAGGAGATCTGCAAAGAAGGCGCTGATGCAAAATGCAACGCGACTGCAGAGCTCGCAAAAGTCTAAGTGCCACTGCGTCGGTCATCGACAGCCCATGGAGACAAGTCTCCCTGGTAGATGTCACCAAAGCGACGGCCCTGAAAGAAAGCAGGGCCTAGCGGCTGCTGTCAGAGTGAGGCACAGGCAGCGCACTTGTGACAGCAAGACGGGCAATGGCAGTGGCTACTTCGGCCATCGCCTCCTCGAGCTCAGTCATTCTCTCAGCCAGGCTATCAAAGCGAGACAGAACATCAGTCTTCAAAGTACGCACCTGTGCTTGAAGCTCACTGACCTGGAAGATAAGGCCAGTCACATCATCTGCCACTGGCGCCACTTGGGCACTTACCTGGACCTGCAAGTCCTGAAGATCGCGAAGAGTGGCAACTGCAACAGGCTCCGGCGCTGGTGGCAACGGTTCGAGGAGAACCTCGACCATGTCATCATCATCGCCTGGAAGGGAGGCATCGTCACTCTCAGGGCAAGAAGCATTCACGCGGTCAGCAGCAGCCATTGAGCCGACAGCCCGAGAGCGACCCAGCCCCCTATGTACAAAATTTTCGGCTGACCTTGGGCCCGAAGCTTCGTCATGCTGAGGATGTCAACGAACAAGACACGTTGAAAGCAAGACGAGCACAAGTGCCGAAAATTGAATGGTAAAGTTTAAAAAGGAAGAAAGTGTATGAGCCTAAGGTTTCGCTCGCGTCAAAACGCATGTCGCTCGCTGTCGCCGCACACGACAACGCCATCGCATGCGCGAACGCACACAAAAGCGCTTTTCCTTGCTTCCTCCGGGTACAAGCCAAAGGAATGACAAAAATGACAAGAATGACAAGCTCCAGCCGGCCGGCCGAAAAAAAAATAAATAATTAAATAATTAATTATGGCCTCGATGCCTGGAAGGTGGAAGTGAAGGTGAACTACTTCGAAAATTTTCACTTCGAAGTAGAAAAAAGTGACTCGGAAGTAATTCACTTCCAGAACTAATTAATTATTTAATTATTTTTTTTCTCGGCCGGCTGGAGCTTGTCATTCTTGTCATTCCTGTCATTTCGAGAAGTTATACGGTAAGGCCGCAACTGGACCGCGATGTTACGGAGGCAGCGGAAAGCCCGCTTCTCTCAGCGCTTGCCGGTGCTGCTCCGTTGCCCGAGCATAGGCTTGCGGAACATAGGCTGCGAGTGCCCACATGCTGCCCTCGTGCGGCTCCACCATGTGATACCGGCGGGCGTCGAAGCTCACCGGCTTGTCGTGCATGTCCAGCCACCGCCCCCGCAGCTCCCGCTCCCCTTTCTTGTCGGCCAGCCATGCCGTGGAGTCCCCCTCGTCATCTTCGATCCACACCCGCCCTCCCGTGTATTCACCCAGAGCAAGTGCGTGATTCAAGTGCCCGGCCATGTTCTGAATGTCGCGGTGCAAGCCCATGCGCGGGTTGAAGAGCACAGCTATGGACGTCCAGGTGCCGTTCGGAAAGCGGCTCTTGAGAAAGCAATTCACAGCTGCGCAGGCCTCCCGCAGGCCCGTGGCATTGGAGACCCCGACCACCCCGCCGTGCCCGAACAGCCCCAGCGTGGCATATCTCTCATAGGCCCCTGGCCCCACGGCCCGAGTGCGGCCCCGGTGCTTCCAGTCCGCCGACCACAGATCCAGCAGTCGCACGATATTGGCTTCGCTGGGCTCCTCCACGGCGTGCCGGCACGCCAAATCCATGCTTATTTATTAACGCCGCGCAGTTTTTTCAACGTCGGGCTCAGCGTCGGTCCCACCCTACGCTGAAGGAACTCTTAGCAACACCCACTTCTTCAACACAGGGTTCAACGCAGGTCCCACCTGCGTTCACGGATTTGATGCTCAGACGCAGCGATTTCGACATTGCCGGCATTTATCACCAAAAACACCCATGCCCCTAAAACACCATGCCGCACCCCAATTTTTCTGGATTTTGAAGCCGCCCGGCGAGGGTGCGCCCCGACGCCCCCCCAGCGCCGCCCGTTTTGCGAGTCGACCACGCACGGACGCGAGCCCGATTTTCAATGCAACCCCCGTTTGCGTTGAAGCTCGATTCTGGGCGAATCGCAGCTTCCCTGTCAAATCGGTGCCGGCAAGCCTCGGAACGTGGTCGGGGAGGGTTTAGGATGGGTCGAACACAGCCACACGGAATCGCCGAACATCACGGGCCTGTCGCGGCCCCGATTTTCAACATAACCCCCGCTCATGTTGAGCGCATGTTCCGGGCCCGCCGGCCAAAAGCGACACAGCCAGCCCCGAGAAGGCCCGCGCATGGGCCAAAAGGGTTTGCCGGGCCGTTTCACACCAAATTGTGGCGAGAGCGCGATTTCGATGGACACGTCCCCTAGGTTTGGCTCAAGTTTTCGTGGCCTCGAGTGCTCAGTGTCGATTCGCGGCGAACCTGTGGCCGCCGTCGACCTGATCCGTGGGGGTTTAGGATGCTCACCGATGCTCGCCAGCCCGCCATCGCCACCTTGGCTTTGGCTGGCACGCGCTGCAGGCCCACAACAGTCACCATGGGGTGAGTACCGTATTCGTGGCTCCTGCTATTAGCTCGCCCCCCGGAAGCCCATCCCGACGTGGCTTGTGAAGCAGGAGTGTCGGCACATAACAGCACCCAGGGGGGGGAGCGCCGGGGCTCGTGGCCGCGCCCTATGCGCCACCACGGCGTCCCTTAGAGAGCGACTCCTTTTCGCTCAGCTGGTCGCGGGCGCTGTGGGGAGACCATTGATTTTTTTCCATTTCGTAACAGTATTCTAGCTAGGCCCGCCGACTTTTGCAGTAACATTTTGCTAGAGTGCTTTTGCCGGGGTTGCTTTTGGTTTGGTTCAGGGCACCCGAACCCCTTCGGCCCCAGCAGTAGGTTTGCCCCCGTCTGCCTTGCAAGTGCCCTGCGTCCCTAACCCGTAGGCTCCCCCGCCCAAGCGTCTCTGCATTGAGCTTCGGGTGCCGCGCTCGCTCTTTCAAGGTCTGGGCGGGCATGTGTTGTCGTATGCAACAGCCAAGCAATAGTTAGGCAGTATCTAGGTAGCAGCTACACCAGAGGTAGGTAACAGTTATGCAACAGCTCCGTAGGTAGCCCCTGTGACCAGACAGCCAAGGCGGCCGAAGCCTCAGATTTCTCTCGCTTGGAGTTTCCCTTTGCCTTTTCCATGCAGCTCGATTGAGTCAATCCAGCAAAGACATCCTTCAAGAGATTTTTTCTGCTCGAGCGAACAGGGAGTTTTGCTTCTGCCGGGTATGGCTTCCCAGTCCTCCATAGCATTTGGCGAGGGTTTGTTGACGGCCGCTGAGAAAGCCTCTTTGATGCGGTTGCTTTTTGGCCTCTGCAAGCGAGCCGTACGAGGCGCGGGAGAGAGATTGACCTTCGACCCGGATGAGGAGGATGTGTGCGCCAGCTGCAAGCAGGAGATCATCCAGTATATCGAGACGCTCAGTGCTGGCGACGTCGAGGGGCTGCAAGAGGCTTCGGATCGCGGCAAGGCTGCAGCGAAGGAGTGGCTCCAGGCGCGCGCGGCAGGCCAGCCACCGGCCAAACGGGCGCGAAGCGGATGATGCGACCGAGCTCTGCTTCTGACGGCGCGCTCCGAGGAGGACAAGTGAGGGGGGCAGTTCCGAGAGAGTTTTTGAGCTTCCTGTGGTATTCGCCTAAAAATGGAGTCCTGGCAAGCGTTCGTTCGGGATTAGCGCGCCTTGCCCCCTTCGCTTCGCCCAGGCCTGAACCTCATCACAGCCGCCCGGTCGTCAGAGTGCTTGCAAAGGGTTGTTGTGTTGGAAGGGTTTCGTGTTGCGCGTGAGTGCAGGAGTGCCCTTGCCGCTGCCCCTACCCCTCGCCCGCAACTAGACTGCCTGCGGCCTCGCCCGTCCGGGGCCCCCGGCCCCCCTTCGCCCCGCCCAGGTCTCGACTTCTTCATCGACCTGCTGCGCCTGGTCCTCGGCCTTTGCAGTTCAGGGTCTTTTCGGATGTTTGTGGGGTTGGGGTTTGTTTGTGCGCGCGCAGGAGTGCCCTTGCCGCTGCCCCTACCCCTCGCCCGTAACTAGAGTGCCCTGCAGCCCGCCTCGTCCCGGGAACCCCGGGCCCCGCCTTCGCTCCCAGGTCCGGACCTTCTTCGCTTGGGCGCTCCGCTTCGCTTGGGCGCTCAACTCAGAGTGTTCTTCTTAGGGGTTTGTTCGGGTTTCCTGGGGGTTGGCCGAGTGAGCCGTGCCTGTGTTGCGAGCCCGGTTTTTTTTTTCTGAAGCTTTCAGCTCGAGGAAGGGCCTTCCCTAACTTCCCGCTCCGCCCAGGTCCTCGTCTTCATCAATCCGCGGAGCTTCTCACTCAGAGTGATTTGCCGGGGCTTTGGTGTTGGAAGGGTTTAGGGTTTTTGGGGTGTCGTACAAGTGTGCGCAGGAGTGCCCGTTGCTGCCTGCTCCCCCGCCTGTAAGACTAGAGTGCCCTGTGCCTCCCGAGCCCTTCCCGGGAGCCCCGGGCCCCCTTCGCCCCCGCCCAGGTCTGAAGCCGTCGGCGTGGCGCCACATCGCCCCGGAGCCCGATGCACTCCGCACGCGTTGTCGTTAGCATGTGGGGGGCTAGGCTTCTGAAGCCGTGGCATGCATTCCGGAAACCTCGCAGCACGGTTTGTGCACAAGCTTTTAGCTTTCTTGCGTCGCGGACATGGAGGAGGCTCTTGCCGATGTGCGTGGCCAGGCCGTGGCTCTGGTGTGTGACTCCACCTACACCGCGCACTCGATCTGTGGCTTCCGCATCTTCGAGGACCGCGGGCGCCGAGGCTGCTGGAGGCAGATGAAGCGGCTCTGCTCAGAGTCGGGCTTGGCCAAGATGTGGCTGAATATGAGCGAAGCTTTATTGGGCACCGGCCCGCTGGACTTCTTCCGCAGTCAGCCTCGCGGTGTGAAGGAGAGGCGTCTCGTTGAGGCGGTGCAGCGCGTCAAGAACCTGCAGGCAACCACTCCGCCGCCTCGCGGGAGCTCTCCGATCGAAGAAGCCGGACTACTGGCTGTGGAGCTGGTGCTGGATCCGTTGGCTTCCGAAGAAGCTCGCATCGGCTTGCATGTATGGCCAGGCTCGTCCCCGGCCCAAGCATATCGGAAAATGATGAGGCTTTGTCATCCCGATAAGCTGGGCGCTTCAAAAGCCACCAGCGCCGCCATCGAGCTGTCCAGCCTGCAGGAGGCCATCCAGGCCGAACGCGACGACTTCCCAGATGCGCCTCTCACGCTGGCCGAGACTCGCCTCATTGCAGCCCTTGGGCGAGTGGACTCGGAGCGCACTGCGCCTCCTGCTCAGGCTCGCCGAAAAAAGCAAAACAAAAAGACGCGCCGCAGCATCTTGAGTCTCGGACAGGCCGACTCTCGTCAAGGCCGTCGTGGCGCCGATCCTCCAGCTCAGGCTCGGCAAACGTCGTTGATGCGGCTCTGAAACCCTTGTCCCGGACAGGCTTCATCTTCGGCAGGTTCTTCGACGAACGAGCCCGCGGGTTTCGAGGCCGGCTGGGGTTCTCTTTCGGACTTTGGGTTGCTAGTGCTTCCTGTCAGGCCGCCGCTCCATCGACTCCAGCCCCACCGAGTTCGGACGGTCCTTCTGCTGACCAGGCCGGATACCGGAGCCATCAAAGGCATCGCGTGCATGGAGTCCTGTTAGGCTGATCCTGGCGCCCCGTCGCCAGCTGCGACTTCAGCTCCGAAAGCAGCAGCTGCGCCGCCACCTAAGGCAGCTCCGAAGGCCAAGCGAGGACCGGGTCGGCCGAGGAAGACCGCGCCTCCGGCTCAGGAGGCTCCTCCGGCTCAGGAGGCGTCCAGTTCGGCGCCCAGCACAGGCAAGCGCAAGGCGGAGGACTTGCTCATCGTGGAGGAGCCGGTGAACAAGGCGAGCATCGAGGCCTTCATGAAGCTCCGCGGCGCGCGGAAGGTGATCCTCGCCACCGGGTACAGCCTCTTCGAAACGCTCGGCTTCTTCTTGGTCCGGCGGGGCGGCAATGGCTGCGTCACGACAAGCTGGCGCGAGAGCAAGTTGCCCGGCGACATCCTCGGCCGCCGCTTCTCGGGTGTGGACTTTGACGTGGAGCCGCCTGTGGTCTTCTGCGATGTGCCGCACAGCCACGCCTGCACCTCGGCCTTCGCGCACTGCCGACTCGTCAAGGAGATCTGCCGCCAGGGCATCGACGGCTGGGTGGACGTGGACGTGGTCAACAGCGTCTTCTCGCAGTTCGAGGCCAACTTCAAGGAGTGCCCCGAGGCGGTGAAGCGCTACAACAAGGACCGCGACGGCATGGTCGCGGCGGTGCGCGAGGCCTACGGCTGCTCCAGGGACGTGGCGAAGCGGCTCTTCATCCGCTTGGGCTTCATGGGCAAGCTGGAGTCGTGGCTCCAAGACTTCGGGCTGGAGAAAAACAACAGCCCTCTGGAGGCGGAGCTGGTGTCCTTCGGCGAGGACATGCGGAGCTTCGGGGAGGCCCTGGCGGTGGAGCATGCTCACTGGTTCGAGCTCTTCAAGGGCAAGAAGTACCCCCTGGGAAGCTTCATGTCCGCGATCTACTTCAAGCTCGAGCGGCAGTTCCTCGACCGCATGATCGCGGCGGTCCCTGTGCCGGCGAAGGTCCTGAGCTACGAGCACGACGGCCTCGGCATCCAGCTGAACGGCTTGAGCGAGGCTGCTCTCCTGGCGGCCCTGAACGACCTCGACCCGCTCCTGCAGGTGACGATCAAGGCGCCTCAGGACCCGGTCAAGCTGGCCAAGGAGCAGTTTCCGGAGGAGGAGTGGGACGGGCCAGCGGCGGTGTCGAGTCTCCCGTTCGATGCGGCTGAACTGCATCGAGCGCTCTTGGTGACCCGGCGCTGCATGGGTCAAGGCGAGACGGAGGATCATCCCAGACCCAACGCCACCGACAACACGGTCGACTTCGGACGAGTCCTGGCTGCTCGCTTGGAAAGCGATGTGCTCGTGCCAGAGAATGATTCCGTGTTCCTTCAGTTCCAGCCTCAGAAAGGGCGGTGGGAAGTGCACAAGGTGTGTGAGAAAGGCCTCCACGCCTTCGCCCGCCAGCATCGCGAGATCTTCGAACCGGTTCACTGCCATTGGGTTGATGGCACTCTCAAGCAAGGCCGTCGAGGCGACAGACTGCGACCGCACGTCGAGCCCACTGTTCCCTTGGGGCGACCGGCCTTCCTGAATGCCCTGGCGCAGGAGGCCCTGATCTACCTGCGGTGCCCTGCTCCCAAGCTGGACGACCCGCTGCGCACCAACCACCGGGTTCTCTTCGAGGACGGCTGGGTCTACGACTTCCGCGACGGCAGCTTCTCCCGCGCCAAGAGGAGCGACTTCTTCAAGCGCAGCATGCCCTGGAAGCACAGGCATCCCGAGTGGTGGGGCAACAAGGAGATGCGCAAGGCCGCGAAGGAGCTGATGGAGCTCTTGAAGAAGAACCCGAGGGCCTCGGTCGTGGAGGACTCCCTGCGCACGGAGGAGACGTTCGGCATGCGCCGAAGGGACGCCCGGCGGGTCATCCAGCTCCTGGAGAAGCTCTCCGCCTACGACCCCTTCCTGAAGTGGCTGCTCGCCTCCAACGAGGACGTGGACGAGGCCGTCTACGTGGGCAAGAACCTCGCCCGGGCGATCGCGGGCCATCCGGCCTTCTGCGAGCTGATGTGGAACTGCGGGCCCGCGCAGAGTGGCAAGGACCTCGGCGTCTCCATCATGCAGAAGCTTGCGGGCACGGGCCCCACGGGCGGCTACTGCGCGGCTTTGAAATGGGGGTATTGCATGAAGGGCGCCAACAGCTCCATCGAAGGATGTTCGCCCTTCCTCTCGGCCATTGAGGGGGCGAGGTTCGTCTTCATCTCGGAAGTCCCCAACCGGCGCATCTCCATGGCCCTCCTCAAGCCTCTCTGCGAACAGCGCGGTGCTGAGATCGCTTCCCGAGGCCTCTACCGCGGCGGCAACGAGTCCTTTACTCCTACTGCTCTGATCGTGCTGACCTCGAACTTTCAGCCCCGCCTCGCCCACGACGAGCGCCAGGACACCGGCAGTTCCACCAGAGTGAATGTCATCGCCGCCTCCAGCATCTTCACGGAGAACGTGCACCTGGCCACCCATCAGCAGAGCGACTCCCGGCTGGCGGACGATGTGCTCGAGGGCAAGCTCACGGCCTGCGCTTTTTACTGGCTCTCGGAGTTCTACCACCTGCTGGACCTGGTGGAGCACACGAGGAACGTGGCGCCCCGCCCCGACAGGATCAAGCAGGTCTCGGAGATGTGCTTCTACGTGGCGCCCGAGGAATCCCGCTGGCTCCAGTGGCTCGCGAAGGTCACCTACACGGATGACATCAACGAGGCCTCGACCATCGCCGAGGTTCACGAGAGCGGGCGGAGCGCCTTGCAAGGCTCCGAGGAGGAGGGGCAGCTGATGCCGAATCTGACCAATGCCGGCTTCACGGACAAGCCACGCGATGCGACCAAACGGGTCTACAAGCGGCTGGTTCCGGGCCCAGATGGCAGGCAGATTCTGAGGATGGTGATCGCCCCGCCACCGCAGCCCTACCGATTCTCGGGCTACGAGGCGGCCTAGATCTTCTTTACAAGTTTCTGAAGTGCATGGGTTCCCGGCCTTCCGTTAGCGGCGCTTGAGAGGCCTTAAGGCTCGATGTCGCATGGAGGTCGCAGAGTTTTTCAGCTATGGCCGCGCTCCCTCCGCTTGGGAGGCTTGCAAGGCATGTGCACAGATGCCGTATGGCCGACAATGCTCCTCTGTGGATGCCGTCAGGGCTGTGAAACAAACGAAGCAGTCCCAAGTGAGTGCCCTGCGAGTGCCCTGCGAGTGCCCTGCGAGTGCCCTGCGAGTGCCCTGTGAGTGCCCTGCGAGTGTTTTTTTTGCTGCACGCCCAGGTCCTTCCGAGAACTTCCAGGCTCGCGCTTCGCAAGCTCCCCGGGTTGTCCCTAACTCCCGAACCCCCGGCACCCGAACCCCTAGAACCCTAAATCCCTACTAGGCTGCCCTGTGAGTGCCTTGCGAGTGCCCTGTGAGTGCCCTGTGAGCGCCTTGCAAGTGCCCTGTGAGTGTTGTGCGAGTGACTGTGAGCAATCCCTGCCCTCCGAGAACTTCCAGGCTCGCGTCTCGCAAGCTGCCTCCCGGTTGTCCCTAACTCCCGAACCCCGCTCGACCCGAAGCCCCTAGAGCCCTAAATCCCTGCTAGGCTGCCCTGTGAGTGCCTTGCGGGTGTCGTGCGAGTGCCCTGCGACTTCCCGGGGATAGAGGCCATAATTAATTATTTAATTATTTATTTTTTTTTCGGGCGAGCTGGGGGGCTTGTCATTCTTGTCATTCCTGTCATTTGGAGAAGCTTGTCGGCAAGGCTAAAAAAGCCGCGAATCTTGTTCGTTTCTGGACCTTACCGACAAGCTTCTCCAAATGACAGGAATGACAAGAATGACAAGCCTCAGCCCGCCGCCAAAAAAAAAATAAATAATTAAATAATTAATTAATTGGCTCCTCGGGGTGGAGTCCAAAGCTGTCACGGCGGCGCCGTGGGCCCGGGATTGAAATCTCTCAGCTGCCGCACCGCTAAAGGTACCGGCCTCCGAGTCAGCCGCGCCTTAGGCTCCGCGGAGCCGCGAGGCACCGGGAGCGCATGCTTCAGCAGAGTCTCCGAGCCGTCGGTGGCCCGCACCGTCATCGAGTCGTAATTCGCAACCTCCCGCACCGCCCCGTACTGGGGCTGGAAGCTCCTAGCCGCATTGGTGGGGGCCCGGAACGCCCCCGCCTCCTCGAGCCGCCGCTGACGGCTCCTCGTCAACTCATCGTTGTGCTTGAACTTCGCTGCGTTGTCTTGATAGACCCGGAAGCTCGCGGCCGGCATCGTCTCCACATCCTCGGGGGCCACCGTCACCGCCGCATGCGGCCTGGCATTGTAGGCTTCCGCCGCCTCTTCCACATGGTCGCCCCAGCCCCCACCGTCCCGGGCGACCTTGCCCGCCAGATCCTTCTTCAGTGTTTGAATCGCCCGGTCCACCACCGCGGTCGCATTGCGGTCCGTCGGGTCCTTCTGCCGGCGCACCGCGCCTCCGGGCAGCGCCGCCTCCAAACCCCGAAATTCGTTTCCCATGTCCGTCGTGACCACGACGTTGGTTTCGTCCTGGACCAGCTCGGGGATGATCTCCGCGGCCGCTCGGGTGACGGTCTCCGCCCGCTTGTCGGGCAGGGCCTTCGTGGCCACCTCCCGGGTGAACACATCCGTCACCACAAGCCCGTACTTGTTCGCCCCCCTCGTGTTCTGGGAGAAATCCACCAGGTCCGCTTGCAAGCGGTCGTTCGGCCCCTCCGCCGCACTCTTCCCCAGACTCCGCGGCTTCGGTGCGAGCACCTGCCGCGCCACGTCGCTGCGCAATGCCGCCTGGGCCCGCGCACTCGTGAGGTCCCGCCGCTCCGGGAACTCCCGCCGGGCGATCTGAAAGAGCTTGCGGGGATCCCGCACGTTGTAGTCTCTAGCAAGCCTCCCTAAGAGCTCCATTGCCCCGTCCTCTGCCATTTTATACTGAGGTGCATGCGCTGCTTTCGTGCAAAGGGCTGCAAACGGCAAGGCGCGGCAGGGGCTGGGCGGGGTTCCTGCTTGATGCGCTCGCCCTGCCGCCAGGAGACTTTTCTGTGGTCCATTGGCTGACGCGCACCTGCGCTCGCTACCGGGCACCGCAAGGCTGGCTGTGGGCGATTCGGACGCTGTGATCAGCTTCTCAGGCGACGCCTATGACCGCACCGCCTTCTCTACGAGCGGAAGGTGCCTCGGCTGCGCTTTTGTCGTCTCAGTCCGAGTCGCCTTTGCGCCCCTTCTTCTTCTCGAGCTTTTCGACCCGCTTCTGCAGCTTCTTGACCACGCCCCACAGCACCACGCTGAGCTTCTGATAATCGAGGGCCATCAGCTCCCGGCCGTCCAGGTTCTTCGTCTTGCACATCGTCGCTCCCAGCTTCCCGCTGGCTTGCACGTCTTGGGCCACGAAGCCGATCTGCTCCCTGCCGCCGTCGATGCGGTCGTAAAGCAACGGCTGCACTTTGTCGAAGGTCTCTTGCAGCTCCTCCTCCGGGATGGCCCGGACGTTCTCCTTGAGTGCCCGGTCCGAGAGATTGACAAAGCCATACCCGAAGATCACCTCCCCGTCGTTGCTGCCCCCGATGTTGGGCTCGATCGCCAGGTTGGCCAGGCCGTTGGTGGTGTTTAAACTTATGAACTGGAACTGCGCGTTGAGCTCGCAATTGCCGCCGGCCAGCACCTTGAGCTCCGCCACGCCCGCCTGGTTGTTGGCGTCGAGGAGCAGCTTGGCATCTCCCGTGGGCGCGGCGTTGCGCACCACGACTCCCACAGTGCCGTCCGTGGGCCCCACCGCGATCTGCTCCAGCAGTGGGCTGAGCACCTGCACGCCGCTGGTCCCCCCCGACAAGCTCAGGAAGGGCAGGCTGGCCTCGGGGCCCAGCACCCCGTTGATCCGCACGGTGTCGTCCATCAGAATGCCATTGGTGCCGCCCTGGACGGTGAGCCAGGGCGCCGCCGGATCAGAGCGCACCAGGGGCGCTTCGAGCCTGAGGTCGCTCGTGATCTCCTGCGTGGCCGTCACCGAGCTGCTGCTCGCAAAACTCCCCGTGGCTGCGGTGCTGCCGACGAAAAACTGGGCGACGTCCGCCGTGGTTGCATTCAAAGTGCGGTCCGAGCGCACGGTGATGTCTTGCTCCAAGCCGATGCTTCCGGCAGCGAAGGAGGCCACCAATGTGCCGTCTTCGGCGCGGATGGTGGTGGTGCCGTTCCGGATTTGGAGATCGGCTGCAGCGCTCTGCAGCAATGGTGTCTGCACGAAGCTTGTGGCCGTGAGGCTGTTGACGGTGAGGTCCGCCGTGGGGTCCACTCCTGGGCTGTTCTCCAGGTCGGTGACGCGCTGGCCCAACGAATTGAAGTTGGCTATCAATGGGTAGCGGGTGTCTCCAGCAGTCGCAGCTGATTTGGAGGGTCGACGAATTCCCCAGGATGGGCTGGGCGGAGAGGGGCGATTGGCACAGGAGGTTTCTGATGATGCGAGGGGTGAACTGGGTCTGGACCAAATTGAAGATCCCACCGCCCTCTGCACCGGGGCTGTTGACGAAGTAGCGGGCATCCAAAGGTCCGAGGTCGTTGGTCCTCAGGAAGCGGCCGTCCGCCTCGGCCTTGGTCCAGGAGTCGCAGCGGAGCCGCAGCGTACTTTGATTGCCCAGAATTGCGTCGCCCACCAGGGGCGCCTCCGAAAGCAAATTGCGGACGATCCTGGGGACGAATTGCTCTTGGACGAGATTGAAGATCTGTCCGGACTCCGCGCCGGGAGCGCGCACAAAGTAGCGGAGATCTGCGTCCGCCTGGGTTTGGAAGCCCGCGCCGGCGATGGCATCGTCGATCTCCGTTTGGGCGCGCCCGCTGGTCCAGTACTGGGTGAGCGTGGCCGTGAGCAGGGAGTCCAGCTCGGTTCGGGGGTAATATGCCAGCAGCTCGTTCGCCACGTAGCTCTGCGTCTGGGCCTGGTCGTAGTAGCCCGAGAGATCCACGTTGCCCAGGGCGTTGGCTATCTCCTGGTCTACCTCCGCCCGCGTGTAGAAGTCCAGCAGAGCAGTTATTATCTTGCTGTCGACGACCCCGCTGGGGTCATAGCTCGACAGGGCCGAGGAAATGCTTGAGCTGACGGGGGCAGACGTCGCGTAGTTGGCCAGCTCTCCCGCCACGAAGCTCGAGACCTCGGCTTGGGTCCAATAAGCCAACAGGGCCTGGTCGATCAGGAACTGCACCCCCGCAGCGTCCTGGTACTGCCCGACGTTCAGGGCAGCGATGGCATCGGAGATGGCGGTGTTCATCTCCGAAGTGCTGCTGTAAGCTCCCAGGGCATCGGCGATGGCCGTGCCCACCTGCAGCGTCGTGCTGTAGGCGGCCAGGGCGGCCAACATCTCGTTGCTCACCCAGGCCTCGCTGGCCAGGGGAGCCAGCAGGGCGTCCGTTTCCCCTTTCGAGTAGCTGTCCACGGAGAAGCTGAGGGTCCAGTTGTCGTTGGCCAGCTGGATGCTCAGCGGCCCCGTGGCGTGCAAGTTGCGGATCTGATTGGTCCCGGCCAGCAGGTCCCAGGTCACATTCCCGGGCCAGGCCGGAGCGTTCACGAGATTGGTGGCTCCGCCGAGCGTGGCGATCTCCGCGAAGATGGCATCGATGGATGCCTGCAGCGCTGTGATCTCGCTGGGCAGGGCGAAGGGCCCCGCGCTCTGCAGCGCCAAGATGTCGGCGTCGTGGCCGTCCAGCCTGCCGTCTCTGAGCGCCAGGGCGGCGTCCAGAGCCGCCTGCTGGACGTAGGCCAGCAAAGCCGTGGCGACCCGCTGGTCCACGTCGGCGGCTGTTTGCCGGGCCGCCAGATCGATCGCCAGCTGATCGACCACCGACTTGAGGGCGTAGTTTGCCGCAACAGTCGCCAAGGTTGCGTTGTTTGTGGAGGCGATGCTGCTGTTCATCGCAGCCGTCGTGGGATGGTTGGCCAGCTTGAGGTCCACCGAAGCGGGCGTGCTCTTGGCATTGACCT